TCACCATAGCTGACCCCAGTGCAGTGCTGCCAAGGGCCCTGACACAAGCAAGGGTCTAGGCAGGGGAAGGCTGGCATTGCATGAGACCGACGACTCCAGGCAACTGATCATTTGCTCTAAACTGGACAAGTCCAGGTTCTAGGAACAAAGAGGCATTGCAAATCCTACTTTATGTTTTTCTAGACACAAATGTAGTTTCTGAGAAGTGTGCAATTTTATGGAAATAAATGGATTCTAGCCCACCCCCACTCCCACCCATCACCTCCTTCTCCCCACCCCTCCAACCCCTGCCAAAAGAAAAAAGAAGAGATTGGGGGGGGGGGGGGCGGAGAAATTGCTGTTAAAATCAGCTGTTATGGCCTGGCTGGTGTGGCTGAGTGGTTGAGCGTTGATCCATGCACCAAGAGGTTGCCGGTTTGAGTCCTGGTCAGGGCACAAGCCCAGGTTGTGGGCCAAATCCCCAATGAAGGGCATGCAGGAGGTGGCTAATCAATGTTCTTGCTCATAAATGTTTCTATCTTTCTCTCTCTCTCCCTTCCTCTCTCTCTCTCTCTAACATCAATAAAGAAAAAAAGTCAGCTGTTAGGTATTACATGTAACAGACTTGATAAATATTTATAATTGTTAACAAGTCATGCATTTAAGTAGAAATGAAACCCACAAAAATGAAATAGGCATGTGGATATGTGACTTTTAAATTAAAGTTAGTCTTAAAATTCAGATAAAATTATTAGAATGGCCTGGAGGGAAGCAATCTTCTGTAGGATTCATTTTTAGCCCTATTTTCAAAAGAGAAAACTGAGGCACAGAGAAGTTAAGTAATTCACCCAAATTTGCCACATGGTTGCTAGGTTGCAGAGCCAGCATTTGAGCCTACATCTCTGTTCCCAATGTCATGCTCTTTCTATAGCTCACAACTGTCATAATAGGCCACTAAAATGGATATCTCATGAACGCTGCCTATCACTTGCTGTGCATCTGGACTACTGCAATGGATCCCTGGTCTCCCTCCTCTCTCTTCTTTATTGTCTCCTCCTGGGCTACCAGTGCACTTATCCAATTCCAACAATATCCATTAGCTCAAGGCCACACATTTAAGTATTCAACTCTATTTCCCTTCTCCACCCTTCAAGGAGTCTACTTCATTCAAGCTATTTACCGCCCACAGATGTAACCCTGATCCAGGCTCCAGACATTTCTTCTATCTGAAAAGAATGCCAGCTGACTCCCTCCTCCCACAGACATTCAAGTCACAGACTTCGTCGTCACAGACTTCGTCGTCAAAGACGTACATCCAGGTTCACCTCCTTCCTGGAACCCCGTACACTTAACTACAGTCCATACCGCCCCCTCCTTCTGGACTACAATAGCACTCCCGAGCTGAATGATTTCTATGCCAGCAGCAGCTGGTCATGTGTCTGATTTTCTCAGCAGGATATTATAAGGTCCTTCCCAGATCCAGGCCACTGAATCTTTCATGTTCTTGTATTTCAAAGCAACAGAACATCAGAGAGGCTCAATAAATATGTATGGGCTTTTTTGACTGCTCTCTTTCTGGGAAAAAGCAAAAGAGAGGAAGGAATGGGAGGAGGAAGAGTACTCTCTGACCATTCTCAACAGGACTCGAAGGCCCTGAGAAGAGGAAATAAGATGTGTTTGGTGGGGATTTTAATATATGGGAACCTATAGAACTCAAGTATTGTGTTTGTCTTCTCACCTGACATGGTACAGGACAAAGTTTTCCCAAGTATGCTTTAAGAGATGATAGTTGCATAAAATAAAATAAAATTTGTAAAATGGCATTAAATGAGTTTCTTTGCTGTAGAATTTCTAGGTTTTTGGTAGGTTTGTGTCCATTACAAATCACTGCAAAGAGGCTACATTTTCAACTATTCCCAAACTTGCTTGATCACAGAATTCTTTTGGTAAGAAGAATCCTGTAGGAATAATGTTTATGTGAACATTCTTTGGGAAATGTTAAACTGTTCCTCCCAACAGACTCCCAGTAAATGGTGCTTTCATTACCAATGATATATCTTGTACATAATTTTTATACATAGTGACTTTGCATTATTTTGTGTTTGTGTGTGTGTGTGTTCTTGCGAAGACTATTCTAGACCTTAGTTTTTTTTTTTCACTCATATTCAGCCCAGAACTGGTTGATGTTTGAGGCTTGATGGTGATGATAGGAAAATATAATTGGTTTAGGACTGAGAACGTGTAAGAGAGGAAGGAACCTCCTGTGTATTAAATGCCTTATTGCAGATTAGCTTATTTAAACAACCTTGTAAGGTTTTTCTCCAACTGGCAATGGCACATTTGCCCTCTATCTCAAATGTCACCTCCCATTCTTCACCTAGTTAACTCTTCAATTCATCCTTGAAGACTCAAGGCTAACATTCCACCTCTCAGAAAGCTTTCCCAGATCTCTCCCAGGCTGTGGTAGGTGACACTCTCCCTGTCCCCTTTCTCTGCCATGTGCTCACCTATACGTACCGCCTGGTTTTAGTGGACAAGTTACATACATACTGTTCCATAACTGTCTTCCTCATTGGACTATGAGTTTCTAAAATCCCAAAGTTATTTCCTTCTCTTTTGCATACTCAACACCTAGCACATAGCAGGTGTTCAATAAAAGATCATCATAACCAGTAGATTAGAAAGTCTATGAGAGTAGACAGGAGCTTTCAACTACTTTGTTCATTGCTAAATCTTCATCATTTAGTGCAGTGTTTGGAAAAGAATCTATTAGGTGAGCAATGCAAGGTTATTTAACTCATGGTCTCTCTCTTAAATTAAAATAATCTACAAGGTACTTTTTTTTTTCTTTAATCCTCACCTGAGAACATTTTTCCATTTTTTGTTCAGATAGAGTGGGGAGGAGAGAGAGAGAGAAAGAAACATTGATGTGAATGGGACACATGGAGCGGCTGCCTCCTGCACAACCCAACCAGGGCCGGGGACAAACTGCAACCGAGGTACGTGCCCTTAGCGGGAACAGAACCCGGGTCTCTCTGGACCACAGGTCAACACTCTAACTGCTGAGCCAAACCGGCCAGGGCTACAAGGTACTTTTTATTATCCCCAATCCACAGGTGAGGAAATTAAGGTTTAAGAAAGATTAAGTGATATGCCAGGAATTATGGCTTACATGTAGTGGAATAGAGATTGGAACCTCCTTGTACTCTTCCAGTTTTAGTCAAGAGATACTACTGCTTATAGTCAAACACAGGTCATATGGAATCTCCAACCCAGACTGTCTGATTAAACGTGGCTCAAATCCCAATTCCTTGGACAAAAGCCCTCTCTACTCTTATATTGAGTTCCACAGCTTTCTCTTCTTTCTTTGCCTCTTCTCTTCAGTGTCAACTCAGGCTGACATTTTAGTTTGGGCCAATCTGGCCTCTGAGTTCAGTCCCTACACTGGGTTAAAACAAAACAAAACAAAGAAAATCTCTTTATCTCAGCAGTTTATGCCTTCAGTAACTTTATTAAAGATTGGAAGGAGAGGGTGATTTATAGAATGGAATTACCCTATAGACCAAGTTGACTACACACACACACACACACACACACACTCTCTCTCTCTCTCTCTCTTCTGAAGCAATTAGCATATTTTTCCCCTCTCCTATGTAGAAGAGACCACAGATCAATTCCGCACAAACCAGGGCTCCTTAAAGTCTCACCTTCTATATAAGTAGCCTTATCGAACATTTTCCTGCATGTAGGCTCTCCCTGAAAGAAATTCTGGTGAAAACAGTTATGGTGAATACAGTATGATTAAAATTTCAGTGACTAGAAGACTGTAGTTTTAAGAGCAAGAAGTCTATTCCCTCACAAGTCACTTTGGGAAGTCCTTTTCTATTCTCTTCATGCCTGGCATATCTTGTGAACATATGCCTATGTAAAATTTTAGTTCTGAGATTGTCTTAGATAAGAATAATCATCAGAGAAGCAAATGTTCTATAAATTATTAATTTTATTCCACTAATAATATGGCCAAAGATAATGCTCTCACTGACTTCAACCTTGCCTCCTTCAATCCCATTACAGAGCCCTAGATTTTCCATCTAAATAAGGTCAGATCCCATTTCATACAGTACTCTGCATCACTCAGTGGTTCCTACTCGAGGTTCAGTCCAAAGCCCCTACCTTCAGATGCCTGACAAGACTTCCATGGCCAGTGTCTGTGGGTTTCTGCAGCCTCTTTCCTCCTAAGCAAGGCCCTGCCCATGGTAGTTCCTTTCTCCACAGACATATGCACACATATCTCAGTGAATATAGGCTCATGTGTTTGTTCATACTGTTTTCTCTTAAAAATACTTCTCAGCCTTTTATCTCCTGTTTCTTTCATTCGGACTCAGCCTTCTCCCACTCTACCTCTGTCCCAGTCTGATTTGAATAGCTCTCTTTTATTCTCCCATAGCCCATGTGTTTTCTTCTTTCAGAATGCTTTCTAGTAAGGTACACTGAAATTCATTCCTTACTGGACTCGAGGGTTTCCTTGGATAAGAGACACGCTCTTTTTATCATCTTGTTATTACAGACTCTGTTAAGTACATGACACGTAGTTGGTGCTAAATAAATTACTGCTGCTGCTAGAAGTTGACTTACTGATGGTACTAGAAGTCACTAAAACCCAATCTTGTATTCATTTCATTTTAAAGTTCTACTAGAGCCTTAGGGAAAGCACTAGAAAAAAAATCATAGATAGTGAGAAGATAAAAGGGAAAAAAAACTCACAAAATTATGCACCTCTTCCCTTTGGAGGATTTTTGAAGTACTAAGAGAAATTTTATGTAGTTCATAAGATTTTAAAATACTTCAAAACAAGAACTTTGATGCCAGAAATACACTTGGACCTGAGAGCAGCTTGCCACTGGCAAGCTCTGCTTAAACCTGTTACATGTACACATTGAAAGTGACTCCAACTCCTTCATGTATTTCCCATCAGATAAAATGCATGGAGAGAAAAAATGTCAGCAAAAGTTAAAACTAACCTGCACAAATCTTTTACTGTAGCAAACTCAGGGAGTAACTAGCTCGAAGCAATACATGGTGAAATAGAAATCATTTTTCTCCAGTTCTGCCTACATCAGATACCATCGACTCCATCCTGAGGAACAAAGGGGAAATTTTGGTGGGAATTAGGAGAGGAGATGGCTGGAATTGGCTAAGAAGATATATAAGTATCTGCTCTCAAGAGCTATTTAGTGAAGTGGTGTTTTTGTTTTTGTTTTATTAATTTTAAGAAAAACTAAATCAGCTGTTATAATTTATATTTATTTTTTAATTAAGTATAAGTAAATGGTGTTCATAGTAAGTGATTTTGGGGGGCCTGTTCTCTTCATTTACACCAATAGGCCTATCTAGGAATTATGACAACCTTATACAGACCTTTAGTCATTCAAGTACTGGCAAAGAAGCCAACATCCACACAGTTACACATCACGTAGAGTGGATCCTTTTACCTCAATGGTCAACATTGCTTAAGTTGTGGGTAAGAGTAATTGCTAAACATTTCACAAGAAACCGACCTCAACCCCTCGCTAACTGCTGTGGCTCTGAAGCGATTACTTTTTTCCTTTGCAAAGGGAAGCTGCTGCTTCAGCATCTTCTCCTGGAGCCCCTGGCACCATTTCAGGCCATGTGTCAGGGGAACCCTTGATCGCATCACAGTGACGGAAGCCAAGTGCCGGCCTACAAGAATTGAGAACTGTTTGTTCACAGAAGATCCTGAGTAGAACCGCGGGTGTTACATAGTTCAAGGGTGCCTTGAAGAAAACCAGTGCTGCTGTAGGAGGGTTCTTCCAAAGGCTCGAGTGATTTCTCCGTTGCTCTTTGATAGCGCTCTCCTAGCTTTTATGAACTTTCGCCAACAGTTGTTGGTTGGGAGTTTTTCTCCCTGTAGTTCCTTGATTTAGCAAGATTTTGGATAGTTAAATAGAAGAGTTTTCATACGTTTTCAAGTGGTGCCACAGTGAATACTACTCTCTGGGGTAAAAAGTATTTTATTATGAACACAGTTTGTGTTTTTGGTAAAATCCAAAGTTAAACGAGCTCACTGTTTGTGTCCTGCTGTCAATGACATTTATGTGTGTTGTTTGGTGTGGTGATTCAATTTCCTGTAAGATGGCTAGCAATTTCACATTGAGGCTTTGTAGTAGGGATGAAAAGGTCAGTTACTCAATTTCTTAGAACATTTGGGGTTAAAATTCCTAAAAGTTAAGCTTTCATAATGATCCTGAAAAACTGTGGTCAGCTATATTGCCTATAAACCTAGGAATTTGGAAAAAGTAGTATTAGCTCTTTGCTAATATCAACAATAATTCTTTATTTGAGCAACAGTTTAATAGAACAAACTGTTCTTTACTCTGCTATTAGTAATTATTTTCTTCTTGGTAAGTAGATGTGCTCTGTTCGTTTTTTTCATTCTCCAGATTTATACAGTACATGCAGATGTTAGAACTTAAATACTTAAATACGTTTATGGCCACATTATGATTGCACCCAAATGCTGATTGTCAAAATAGCTTATCTATAATTTGGACATAAAGTACATCTTCTGAAATAAGTTGTCCCTATTGTCCCTGTACTCCCTTCCTAAGAGAGAGTCTTGTATTTAAATGCATAATGTTTTGAAGCATTGGAACTTTCCTGAATTACATTTCTATTACGATTAAAAAATAAACAGTGAAATATGTGGTGCCACATTCTGTTAGGCCCAAGGCCTGTACTTCTGAAAAGCTTTGAGAAGTTGGTGAAGATGGGAGGGGATTACTTACATAGGAGCCCAGACTTTGGAAGAATTGAAGTGCAGGGAAAAGGAACGTGGAAAGCCAAACCTTAGTGGTATGGAGAGGGGTTCCTGTTTCTGTTATAATCAATAACTGGAAAGATAACAGTGAAAAAGTCCTAGACACAATGGTTTTGCATCTTTAGCCCACTGGTGTGCTAACAGTGCACAAATTACCCAAAATAAGTAAATTTCTTCTTAAAATAACCTACATCACTATTTTATACAGTAGAGAAATGAAAAAAGCAAAAACAAACCATATAGGCCTGGCAGGGTGGTTTAGGTGGTTGGAGCGTCACTGAGTACACAAGTTTGCAGGTTCAATCACTGGTCAGGGCACATGCACAGGTTGCAGGTTCAATACCTAGTCGGGCACATATAGGAGGCAACCGATCCATGTTTCTCTCTCACATCAATGTTTCTGTCTCCCTTCCTCTATCTCTAAAATCAATGGGAACACATCCTCGGATAAGGATAAAAAATATATATATATACACATTTATATATATATATGCATATGTATGTATATATATATATATATATATATATATATATTTAGTAGATGTAGTACCATCACAACTTGGTACTGCTATGCTTGCATATGGAAGATATTAAGTACAATGAAAATGTGTTATGGTCAAAGGCTTAATTATTGTTTATAATCTTAAGGGTATAGGATTACAAGGGACTTTCTATATTATGTCTTCGTATAATATTTCAGTTTTTACAACAAGCATGTTATATTTCTTTATATTCTTATAATCAAGACAAGACTATACACAAAAAATATTTTATACTTACAATTTAAAATTATGTTTAAGGTTGTCCTATTGTCAGGGATAAAAGCTCCAGTCTTACACTTTATAACTCACTTAGCAAGGTTTAGGCAGTTGTTTTTTCACCTCAAGTATATATTTACAGAGACTGGTGTAGGAAAAAACAAACAGTAGAATAGAAGAGGCAAATTTTAACCTAGAGTTCTCAAAGTAAATAGCAACAGTTCAAGAACCCTTGATAACAATGAGCCATGTGGTACTTGTAACGAATACTTAGAAAGTTATTCTAACTTTTACAAATGTTATATAAAAACCTACCTGGAAAATCCCATGAGCCTGAAATTCAGTCTATGAAATTCTTTGTTGTGCCGCTGATCATTTATAGAGCCTAAATTTCAAAGGCAGAATTTCTTCTCTTTTAATACCTGTAGATTCCAAGACAAAGAAAAGCCATCTCACCACCTTCATGTAAACCTTTCAATGTATTCTTTCTAATTGAAAATAACAAAGTTGGATAAGATGGACTCTTGGGAGTTTAGATTATTTTTCCCCTCTGAGAGGTTTACTTATCGGAATGCTAATGTAGTGAAGTTCTCTGCAATTGATGTGTTTATGGAGAGTGCCCATGGTCCCCAGGTCAGCTTTTGTAAATAGAGCCGGCTTTCATACAGGGTCTTTTCGTTTTCGCACGTTTGTAATGCATTCGGTGCATAGTGACCAGAAACACCCTGCCAGACTTTTCCCCTTGGCATCACAAGACCATCCTGGTCTCTGACTTGCAATTCCACAGGCGCCTGGAGCGCTGTGCAGGACGTGTGTAAACTGCCCATACCATGTGGTGCGTTCGCATTGCTGTAGCTTTAAGATAACTCTTAGACAATTCTGAATGTGAAATTACAGCATATTGTCAAACCCGAGACTTCTAAAGCGTTCCGCCACAGCATTGCATGTTTTTGTTTGCTTATGTCCGCTCCAAAAATTTGGAGTCTGGTACTTAGCAGGGACTGGGGACTGGAGTAGTCTGGTCTTGATAGACATGCTTTTATTCCCACAACCACCCTGTCCTTGAAGTAGGCAAATCCTCAACCCTCAGACACGAAGGCTCAAAAACCCTCACACCCCAACCCTCAGAGACGGTTGCGCGGGTCCTAAACAACCTTGTCTGTGCAGCCCTTCGGGTTCCCCGCGAAACCTCCCAGGAAGCGGCGGCAGTGCAGACGATGAGGCTCGGGCCATCGGAGCGACCCGGGAGGGGCAGCGGCCCCGCGGGCGCTCCGGGTCCCCGCGGGCAGGTGCGCGGCCGCGCGCGTGCGCGCCAGGTGCCGCCAGAGCCCCGCGGCCGGCGCGACCCCGGGCGGCGGGCGGGCGGCGGGCGCTCCACGCCGGGTTTTCCGCCGCGCCCCTCGCACAGACCCACCACAGCCCCAGTCACACTCGCCCGCGCCGCGCCTCTCCGGCTGTCTTCAAAGCGCGCGGCGCCAGGCGGTGCTGGCGATGCCACAGCGCGGCGGCGGGACCGAGGCCGAGGGGAAGGACGCGGCGGGGGGCGCAGGCTCGGGCAGTTCGGCTCATTTGTAGAGCTGAGGACGGCCGGCACGCCGAGGCCGAGGGGGCGTGCGGGGAGTGTTCCCGGAAAGCCGCGGCGCTGGAGCGGCGCTGCGCCCGCCGCCCGAGGAGTTGAGAAAGAAAACAGGAAGCGTGGTGGCCGCGCAGCCGGCCGCGGCTGATTCATTCCTTTGCCGAAGGCTCGGGCGGGGCGGCGCGGAGACGCGCTCGGGGCTGGCCGCCGGGGGCACCGGGCGGCGGACCAGTCGCTCCCTCCGCGGGGCGGGCGCCCGGCGCACGCGCCACCCCCTTCGTCATCCTCAAGGACTAGGACTCCGGCCGCCGCACCGCCTCAGAGTCGCACCGTGGTGTTTTCGCCCGTGTCCCCGTGTAAAAGTTGGCGTGCGGCACTTGGCGCGCCCTCCCCGGACGCCGGACTGAGACGCCAAGCTGGAGAGGCCGAGCGTCCCCGAGGCCCCCCTCGCGGTGCCCGGCTCGGCAATATGAAGGAGCAGCCCCCATGTGCGGGCACCGGGCATCCGAGCATGGCGGGGTACGGCAGGATGGCCCCCTTTGAACTCGCTGCTGGCCCCGTGAAGCGCTTGAGAACTGAGCCCCCCTTTCCCTATCTCTTCGCAGAGGAGGCCTACCAGAAACTGGCCAGCGAGACCCTGGAGGAGCTGGACTGGTGTCTGGACCAGCTAGAGACCCTGCAGACCAGGCACTCCGTCAGTGAGATGGCCTCCAACAAGGTAAGCCCCTGCGCTGCCGCCGCGCGGCTGTCGCTTCCCACGCCGCTGGAGCCGCCAGTCCCCGTGGCCCGGGAGATATGCACAGGTTTTGTCACGCTCACTGTATGTTGGCTGTTCTGCTCCCTCCGAGGGAGGTTCCTGATTCTGTGTCTTCCCTCTCTCCTCCACTCACTCCAGATAAATCTAACATTTTGCCAAAGTAGCTTTGACATAGTTTGATGGCGGTACCTCCAGGACACAGTGGTTTTTGGGGGGAGGTGGCAGATGGGGAGGCTCGTGACACTTTGCCCTTGCAGCAGAAACCCAGTCGAGTCCATTGGCATTGCACGTTTAAGGGTATTCTTGGGAGTCCCGGCTGGAAATAAGAGCTGCTGGAGGTCAGTGCAGTTTCTTGGATGTCACCACCTACCTCACTCAAACTGAACTGGGAACCTGAGCCCTCATTTATTTGGGTGTCAGGGTACCCTGTAAAAACGGAGCCTTTATAGGTTCGCTTGGCCATACCTGTCCAGAGGAAACGTCAGCAAAGTTAGAAAATTTATTATGAGCTTTACCTTTGTTCCCTTGAGTCTTGGAGAGAAAGTCCAGTTTTCTGAGGTCATTTCGTTACAGTGATGCTTGGTGGTTAATGGAGTTTGAGGGGTTGAGAAGTAACCTTCAGCCTGACATAGCTGTAAAGCAAGGTAGAGTGTTGTCTGTTTTACTGTATTTCTTGGGATTCCTGTTTTTAGTCTTTAGTTGTGTAAGGAAACGATTGATCATGTATGTTTTTATGAGTATTGGCGGAGGGGATAGGAAAGGAGGCATGCCCATGTTGAAGGTAAATGGCCAAGGGATTCAGCCAGTATGGGCTGGTAACTTTGTGTGACAATTAGTAACAGTTGCATCTTAAAGATATTTAATTTTTGGTCACCTATTTACAAGGTCAGGAAGGTTATACCATTTTACTGTTTATGTGCACATATTTTTCAAAGAGTGATGCTTTTTTTTATTTTAGCTTATTGTAGTTTTTATCCCACTTGTTCTTTGGTTTTTTGTGTGTGTGTGTGGTTTTTTTAAATACCATAACATGCCCTAGCCAGTTTGGCTCAGCGGTTAGAGCTTTGGCCTGTGGTCCGGAGAGACCCAGGTTCGGTTCCCGCTAAGGGCATGTACCTCGGTTGCGGTTTGTCCCTGGCCCTGGTTGGGTCGTGCGGGTGGCAGCTACTCAATGTGTCCCTTTCACGTCGACGTTTCTCTCTCTCTCTCTCCCTCCCACTCTATCTGAACAAAAAATGGAAAAATGTCCTCAAGTGAGAATTAACAAATAAATAAAATAAATACCATAACATACCAGCCACTTCTCTTATCTGTTGATAGTGCTTATATAGACAGCATTGTTTTTAAGTAAAATGTTACCTGCAAATAAACAAAATAAAAGGGACTCTCTAGTCACTGTCTGCAGGCACTAATGTACCCATAAGCATGCTGACCTACCCATATAAACACAACAGATTATATCTGAATTTTTATTTATTGTCATTTGGGCCTTACTTCTAAATTTGGTATGGCTCCTCATCAAAATGATTGCTCTCCTAGTCCCTGCTGTAGAAGTATGTGTCATTGGTCTCATCTGGCTAACGAATTCTTAGTTCATTTATCAAATTTCTAAAATATAAATTGGGCTTTCATAATTTGATTCATAATAGCAATGCACAAGCTGAGTATCCCCATTGTCCTACCTGCTGAATGGGACCATTCTGCAGTGGGCCTAAGTTCTTAATTCTCTTCTCTGGTTAATTCTGTGTAGTAAAATAAAGAGCAGAACCTGAAGGCACCTGAAGAGATGTGCAAGCAATTGCTTATGTTTTCAAGATGATTTGACTGTACTTTTTCAGCAAAATGAATCAGAGCAGCTACAGTTACTTTCCCCCAAAATACATACTTTTAATGATGAGGCCTGTTTTTTCATTTAAAAATTAACATGAAATCTAATAATGCATAATATATGATAACTATTAATTAATTTATTTATCTACATTTTAAGATTAAAAATAAAACTTTAGGTCACAATAATTACTCAAAATGATTTCTTTCTTTTAAAGGTACCACATGAGACGGATTTTGTTTTTTAATCTTCATTGTGAAGGACCCTAAATTAGACTTTATGTTAATATACAGGTTTAGTATAGGAGATGGGTTTATTTGATTGAAGTGCGATCAGGTTGAGAAAAGACTTTTTCAGAATGTAGTCTTTCTAGCAGTGTCTTTGTCTTATGATTGAATGACTACTGACAGAACACTTATTTTTAACATTAAAATTCTTAACTCAGATGAAACTGTTGCTTAAACTTTTAATGTCTAAGATATTCACCTTTTTAATCCATTTATTTCTAAATGAATGCTAAGCTCATGTGACTTTTTATAGATGAAAAAGGATTAGCATAAAAGTGGGGGGGGGCTCTTGGTAAAGGTTGTAAAGTGACCCTTCTGCTTGATAACAAGGGCACGAATAAGTCACATCCACATGAGCTGTAAACTGAGTTGGAGCAGCTGATCTGAAGGTCCCCATGAGTGAACCTAAGTCTGAACTGGAATTGTGACAGCTTGTATCACACGTCCACTAGGTTCTTTGATATCTCTTGAGTATGAATGAGTAAGTCTGAAACATGGCTTTGGGTTTTTTGTTTTATTACCATCTTTTTTTTTTTTTTTTTTTTTTTTTTTTTACATGTACTTGTTTGAACCAACAATGTTTTCAGGTTATTTTCTTTTTGCCTTTGAAAGGTCATGACATCCTTCTGTGCTTTCTTCTCTCTTGAGGTTTTTTAAACTTTACTTTATAGATTTAAATAACAATAGAAATACTAGTAAGAACCAGGATCTGTAAGTGATTATATAGCAAACTATACAAATAATCACTATATCTCTATGATGATTATTATGAAGATGGTTTTGGCTGTCAGGAAGAAGGAAATTGATTCTTCAAACCCATTTAGCTAATTGGGTTAACAGATTCTTCATGTTTTTTTTTAAATCTTAATGAAAAGAATCTAAATTATTAGCAGTTTTTAATGATGCTTTAGAAACAACTAGCTGTATTTCCTGATTGCTATTATAATGTGAATAATGCTTATTGATGTTTTAAGATAGGAAAATTATTGAATTCTTGTCCAAGGCCAGAGTTAGCCGTAATACATGTAGAATGATGCTTGTACCAAGTAGGGTAAGAGGCTCCAGATGGCATTTAATTTGAGTGGTTAAATCTACAGCGTTTGCCCTCATAAACACATTAATCTGCCTAAGATTTATACAGATTTCCTTTGGAACGTCATTGCTACAGTGGAGGGAGATTTTGGTGAGGTCTCAAAGCTTTGGTGGCAGACCAACCTGGAAGTTGAATCTTAATTTTGTTCTTTGCTAGCTGACTTACATTAGAGAAGTGACTACTAACTTTTTTAGCTTCAATTTCCTTAGCATAAGATGGACACAATATCTATTTTGAAAGGTGAATTCAGGAGTTTGAAAGAATAAAATAGCTAGCTAATATAGTGCCTGACAATTAGTAGACACTATACCTGTTGTTGTTGGTATTATTATTTGAGGTTTAGGTCAAACTTCATTGGTTGCTTACTTGGCTAAAATGTTTTTCTTTAACATTCAGTCGTAATTTATGCTTGACATTTTAACTTTCATGGATTTTCATAATATAATTATTAAATAGCTGTCTTTAATGTACATTTGTATATTATACAAATGCTTAAATTATACTTACACTTTTTTGGTATAATATAGACATAAACATTTTGAAGTTCTAATTAGAAGTTTAGTCTTTTCTTAAATTCCAGTTACAGAATCTCAGACAGAAGAGCCAAATACTCTTTGTTTTACTCTAAAACTGAAAACACAGTTCCTATTAATTTGTAGAATATTTAAAACAGTCTGGGATTAGGGGACTCATTTTCATTCATTTGTACAGATTTTGCAAAGCT